ATATAATAGTGAAATTTGTTCAAAAGTTTGAAACATTTGAACTCATATTCTGTACATCTCTGCCTACTGCAACTGCTAAAACCAGGAGAAGTGAAAATTAGATTGATTCACATTTTTTAATTGAAAAATTTAATTAGAAATGGGAAATAGTCATAGCTAAAGTGGCATTTCAGTAAGTTGAAATGAACAGAATGGCTCATCTGTTCAGTGAGAGTGCAATACATTGTCTGAAGATCATTCTGAAGAAGAGGAAGAGCACTTTAAACATATTCTTGAAACTTGGCTGCTCAAAATTTCAAAAGCAGATATGCTGCAAGGTAAAGGCCAGCTGAGTCTTTTAAAGCTCCAACAAAAAATTAGGAAGATTCAATCTGAGCTTAATTGTGTGTAACCCATACATATATATAGGAAAATGTTCTTTTATAAAAAATTTTTCGCATTAAACAAGAGCTTCAATGGTCTGTTTTGGCGAAACGCATAATGGTATTTAACCTACTTCGACAATCAGTTTTTTTCCCTTGAAAAGCCAATTGAGAGTACGAGTGGGTTAATTTACCATTTTCCGCTATATAATTATAGTATTTAGTTTTGTTGCAATTTGTGTCTTTATTTTAATTTTTACTTTTATGTATTGGCATTTTTTTCAATCTATGTTTTTTATATGTACTTTCCTTGTATATTTTTCCGACGATCTATTTTTCATGTGAGTTAACTTTTCACATATCACAACGGTCAGATTAATTTTTTCGTGCATTAGCAAGTCTTCCAGCATTAATTTTGGCAGTTTTTTCGCGTGTTTACAGTTTTTTCCTGTTTTTCCAGACAAATTTCTACTTAGTTGTTATTTTTGTAATACTGCGTTAAAATATTTCGTGGAGCTACAGCTCCTGGTAACTTTTTAGCAAGATCGCTGCAATGTTTCTACCTCTTACAATTATATATAGGAAAAGATATAAGAAAAATTTTAAAACTGTAATAAATTCAATTTTATTTTTTATTGGCACTGAATTTTTTCTTTTGCCTATAATTTAGAAGGTTATAATTTTAGTACATATATACAGGGTGTCCATCAGAGGAAATCCCTGATTTAAAAATTAAAAAATCTCAAAAACAAAGATCGATAGAGAACTACAGTAAGCAGTATATTTGTAGTGAAAGTTGTAAGAATGTTATACAGAAGTTTCAAAATAGCAGTAACAAAAGCTGGTAACAAATGGTGCCGTATGTAAGAATGATCAGTTCCAACACTGAAATGGGATAGGAGGTTGGTGCCGAAGAAAGAGGTTGAAATCATATATTCCACTGAACAACGTGTGTTTCGACTACTGGTATACCACAAGTTACTGCACAATCCTATAGCAACAGGCATAGTTTTCAAACATGATTTAATATTCCCGAAGGACGCGATGGGAAAATTATTTGCAAGCTCTTCACAAAATCTCACAGTGAACAGGCAGCATCTGAACGACAATCTGGTAGGGAATTATTGGTCACAGGCAATTTATTAGTTACTCCTGAAAATGTCACCACTGTATTTGTAATTATTCTGCAAAATCCAAGGAAATCCATCCAAAGCATTGCAGCAGAGATTGATTTGAAGTGTTCCAGCATGCAGAAAATACTGAGAAACAGCCTAGACATGTTTCCGTTCAAAATCCTTCGGTCACCAGCCATACCCATTGGAGCTGTGCGACAAATGGCTGACTTTTGTGAACCTGATTCTCAGAATGATTGGTAATGAAAGATTTGATGTTGGCTGGATCTAGTTCACAGATGAAGCACACTTCTACTTGAATGGATTCATAAATAGTCGAAATGGTCGATTTTGGGGTTATGAAAAGTCCCCATTTGCAAAAGGTGAAAACACTGCATTCTCTCAAAGTTATTGTTTCGGCTGCATTAAGCAATAGAGGCATTATCAGCCTTTTTTCATGCGAGAAACAATCACTAGTGAACATTACACTGGTGTGCAAAAATTAAGGACGAAGTTGAAAAATTAGCATATCAGCTGAACGAAGAGGCAGAGCGGACAGAAAAACCAATCAGGAGATTAAGTAAGATGATGTACGATAGTACATGCGCAGATATGCAGGTAGACGTAATGGGGGAGTGTCTGAGTAGTGTAAAGCATGTTGTCGGTGTAAGATCAGTATTTCTGGCAAAGAGATTGCACGCCGTATAGCAGTTAAAATCACACCGAGTTCCTGCCTCAGCGAGAAATGGCGAATAATCAATATTAGACGACATCTGGATGCTTTTACCCGAGGTCGAATCATTGGGAAGTTGGAGGAAGGCCGCAGTGTGACAAGTGTGGCTGCAGAGTTCGGAAATGCTCACAGCATCGTTTCACGACTTTGGAGACAATTTCAAACTACAGGAACAGCTATCCGGGGGTTTAGTAGTGGTCGTGCACGAGGAACCACACCCGCAGATGACCGGTATATTGCCTTACAGGCCAGAAGAAACAGGCGGCACACAGCGGGAGAAATCGCTAGATACACAACACAGGCGACTGGACGACCGATATCGCGTTTTACCGTGGCCAGAAGCCTGCATGGTGTGGTCTGTTTACATGATGCCCTGTACGGTGTGTACCTCTAACGCCTGCCCATCGGAGAAGGCGTTCTCTGTGGTGCCGGGAACACCGGAATTGGAGAGACAATGAATGGAGACAAGTACTCTTTACAGATGAGAGCAGATTCAGTCTGAGTAGCGATTCTCATCGCATACTCATCTGGAGAGAGCGGGGAAGCCGCAATCATCCCTCGAACATCATTGAAAGGGACAGGTATGGAGGTGGTGGTGTTCTCGTTTGGGGAGGCATCATGCTTGGTAGTCGTACAGACCTTCACATCTTCGACGCAGGTTCAGTCAATGGAACCCGTTATTGTAATGAGATTCTTCTTCCATATGTGCGTCTTTTTAGAGGCGCTATGGGTCCGCAGTTCCTTTTCATGGACAACAATGCACCATGTCATCACACAGTAGCTGCCGAACAGCTCTTAGAGAGTGAGGATATTGAACGTATGGATTGGCCGGCACGATCTCCGGATCTCAATCCCATCGAGCATGTATGGGATTTTCTAGGCAGACGCTTGGCAGCTTGTACCTTACCACCAGTAACGATTCCGGAACTTCGATTGGCGCTGCAAGACGGAATGGGCAGCAATGCCTCAACAACTCATTGACACCCTCATTCTCAGCATGGGCAGACGCTGTGAAACCTGCCTAGCAGTCAGGGGAGATCATATCCCGTATTAAAGACCGGATGTTTCTTGCTGGACACCCATCACAGGGATGTTTCGGCCTTCAGTCGCATTGCGCTCCATGCTACTTTTTCAATAAAGCTTCTTTTTATCCCTCTGATTTCTCTTTTAGTAAGTGTTGCTTACATTACTCATGTCCTTACGCATTGGGGATCTTACGGTATTAAATGTGTTGATTTGGAAAGCTTTTGTACAAAGTTATATTGAAAAAACCGTCTCGTCCTTAATTTTTGCACACCAGTGTACATTGCAATTTTGGAACAATTTGTCGCCACAGAGCTAGCGTTCGAGGATCGACCAGTCATTGACTGGTTTAAGTAAGATGGAGCCCAGTCATTTCACATTGAACAGATATTTTGCTTTCTTAATGAATACTTTGAGAAAGAGTGTTGGATTATTCCAAATTTATTGTGTAGATATTGGTTGGCTGCCCTATTTGCCTGATCTGACTCCTTGTGACTACTTTTAGTGGAGTACATTGAAAGACACTATTTACTGGAACTATCGCATCATGCTAGACAATTTGAATTGTTGATCTATGTGGCATCTGAATCATTTTCATTGAGACACTGCAGGATGTCATAGCAAATTTCATTGTTTATTTGCACCACTTCTGTACCCTGAGCGGTGGACATTTTGAAAAGATTGTGATGTGATTGTAAAGACTATTTCCAGAGGACAAGTTATTTATGCATATTGATATAAGCTGTATAACATATAGTGCCATCTGTTGGCAGCTTTTGTAACTATTATTTTGAAATTTCTGTACAACAATTTTACAAGTTTCATAATAAATAAAGTGCTTGTTGTATTCCTGTATAAGTCTTTGTTTCTGAAATTTTTAATTTTGAAATCAGGGTCTCCTAATAAATTGGTAAATTCCTATCATTTCGGACATTTTTAGTGTTTTTAATATACTCTATGTAATTATTTATGATGTTTCATGGACATGAAATCCCAATTTCGTTCGTGATTCCTCATGTATTTCTAGTGGAAGGAATGTCTACCAGACCGAGCACAGCTTCCTAGTTGGTGGGCATATGTGTCATTCGATCAGAATTACATGTGGCCTTGGAAAGAACTGCTGTCACATAATTGCTGGTGTAGGCGTGCAAACATAGTAGTTTTGGTGGGAATTCACCTCAACGGATAACTTTGGGCATACAACTTCTGAGTGGCTTAATTGTTAGTCTGCAGCCTCTTATGCTAGAAGCATATCTGCTTTCTCTGAGTTCTTGTAGTCTGCAATCCTGCTGCCTCTCTGTGTATGTGCAAAAGGAAGCTTCATTTCGGCACGACTCCTTCTTATCATAGAGTTCATCTGGCAGCTAGTTCAACTCTTCATCCAGAAATTTGCATATTGTGCCTTTAACACACTCTTGAGAAACTTTGCTCATCTTATCCACTGGTACTACTACTCTCTTAACTAGACGCAACCGAGTCGTCTAAGCGTACCACACCTCCCCTCGAAGTTTCTAATATATTAGCTGGAACACCATATATATATTCCAAGCTTAAATTCAGTGGGAGCCCAGTTGAGCTATTTCTTAGTTTTTGAGTGAAACTGCTATTCCTGCCAGAGCCCCAAAGGAGATGAGGTCCAATACTTTATTTTATTAATTTTTATGTACCTTTTTATATTTTCTTGAATTTTGATTAATCAGTTACTTTGATTATTACTTATTTTACTATTTTGTTAGATATTTTATTTATTTAATTTTGCTCCTCTTTCAGATGACCTTCCTTAGGGCTCTGACACATCTCATTTCTGAAATTAAGCCCTGCCCTTTCAGCAGTACAAGTGATCCCAAACTCCATAATATTCAACAAAAGTAATTCATAGTTTCACTGAATATTTTCTGTTTGACATTATTATTTTGTCCCAGACCTCTATAAATCTAATATCCATATTCATTTAAAATACATTTTCATAGACAGTAGAATATTCTAACCGTACACATGACATACAGAAGTTAAGCTTCACCCTCATTTTCCTCGAATTGACTGTGTATTTTCCCCATATGCATTCTTTTAACTGGAGCTCTAATTCATTAAAACTTATGATGCCAGAGAACTGCAATGCTTAAATGAACTGTGAACGCTTAGGAGCTGTTCACTTCTTAAGAGGAGCAAAGCCGTCTAGCTTAAGGCAAACCTTATCCATCCTGGACAGTCCTGACTAAAGCTATCTTGTCTTAGTTTCGAATTCTATTTCTTTTTTAATGTTAATGAGTGTTGCAGATATATGTGTAGAAGGAATCTGCTTTGACAATCTCTGAAACCATCTCTTGGAATGGCTAATCTTCTCTGTGTTGCAAGGTAATCTAATTTCTGTCATTTTTGTCAATGATACTCTGCACTTGTCTGTACTGCCTGTACTGTCAAAACACCCAGGTGCTGTTTACCAACAAGATTGAAGCTGATCTCAAGATTGTTTATAATGCTATGAGCATTCAAGGTCTAATGTTATAGAGCATCTTAAAAAAGCAAAATAAACTGGGTTACTAGCTTTATGCTGAGTATATTTAAAAGCGAAATGAGACTCAGTAAAACTTGCAGCCTACAAGATTTCGGATTAAAGAGTGTCTCGAATCCATTTTAAATGTCAGAAGTTTAAACAGTGTTAAAAGATCGAGTTTTTTAATGTCTTCAAACCAATTTTTCTAATAAACAGGTCTCTGAAAACTGTTGAAAAAAGAATCATCTATAAACTAATTGTAAAGAAAAGTTTGACTTTGTAAAGAGGCAGGTCAAAAATATAAGTAGAAATTAGATATGAATCTTTCAGGTATCAGTATGAGTTGTGAATCTATCGGTCATATAATAGACTGATCACTGAGAAAATTGTCCACAGGGAGCAAACAATATTAATTTGCTATAAAGACAGAAGACAGCACACATACACAGAACCAAGCCTCATGGAGGAGTTGTACTCGTACCCTTGGCTTCGAGCTAACAGTCGGGCTGTGCCAGCTATTGTACAGTCCAGGGCGGCATATTGTTTTGCATTCAAAAGTTGAAACTTTCTAACTTAATTTTTCTAATTTACTTTCATTTGACCCACTCTCATAAACAACCAATGAAATTTTTCTTTAAATTAATGTACTGGATATAAATTTCCATTCACCTAATGAAAGCAGCCATTTTTACTCCGAGATCTTTGTCTTCATTGAAACAGATCTTCATAAAAGTAGATTGCACCTTAATTTCCTGCATCACTTACCTCACTAAGATGTTCAATGAATTTGCTACATATTGCATTCAGTGTTGAATATCCCTACCTGTTAAAGCATTTTTATAATTTTATTGCCAATAGCTTGTGAGGACCATGTATCGATTCTTTTAAGAAATGTCTAATATCTTTACAGATCTTGACAAGGTGATTAAGTGTTAGGTTATGTTATTTGGCAAAGCACTTGAGAGCTATTTGCCTAAGGGCAGAGATACCTTCATGGAGGACATTCTAAGAGAAACTGGCTTGTATTTACATTTCACCTGAGGAAAACCAATCATGCAGCCAGCCCATTTGCCTGGTATTAACTCTGGGTCGATGTCCCAGCATTCAGCATTCATATCTACTTGGCCACTGGTGAGGTCAGATAAAAAAATGAATAATTATCTCTAAATATATCTGTCATGTAAACAATGGTTTAATTATATGTGTATTTTTATAAATATTATGTAATTAATAAAAACATTTTTATACTATGGTTGTTTTCATTAATGTCCTACATTGCATATAGTACATAAATAACTGTATTGATTAAATATTTAAAAGAATTATGATTCTGCAAATAATTTAATATTTTCTCCCAAATTATAATAAGCAATTAAAATTCATAAGCATTAAATTTTGCATGAACGAATTCCTCTTTAAATTTACTTCTAAATTAATACCTTAATTAATGTTTTAGTAGTATAAAAGGATGTGATTTGAAAGACTGCTACACTCTTAGACAAAAAAAAAAAAAAGAGAGAGAGAGAGGCAGTACGATGCACCGAGAAGATATAAAGCAAATTGGTATGCATATGGGTTTCGCCGGAAAATGCAAAATTTTACATTTTGGCTGCCAATGAATGAACGATTGTTGCTACAATGCTAACTGGCAGGATATTTAAGAGAAATTACGATTCCAGGTCATAAATTCTTCACTAATTTCATTCCTTGCACTCTGGTAGACAGTAATAATTATGCCTCACATACAAGTGTGTGAACGATATGCACAGATGTCAAAATTTGAGAAAGGTCGTGTAGTTGGGCTCGAAGCCGGTTGGTCTTATCGCCGAATAGCTCAACATTTGAGCAGGAGCGATGCCACTATTATATGATGTTGGCAGGAATGGGGGAACCATGGCCTCACACAGCGTCAAGAAGGAAGCGGTGGGTATAAAGAAACGACAGATCGTAAAGACCGAGCAATTGTGAGAGCGGCACTCACAGCCCCAGATGCATCATTATCATCGATTGCACGTGCAACTAGTGCTTCAGTGACCGCAAGGACCATTCATAGATGGCTCACAGAAAGGGGACTGAGGTCACGGCACCCCTTGCGCCGCCGACTACCATTGACTTCTGTACAACGTCAAGCTTGTTTGCAGTGGTGTTGGGCTCATTCGCACTGGAATGTCACTGACAGGAGTAGAATAGTCTTCAGTGATGAATCCCGCTTTGAACTGAACCCCGATGACCAGTGAAGGCGAGTCTGGAGATGCCCCGGACAGCGGTGTGATACCAACCTGTCTTCTGGCAGACAGGCCGTTAATCAGAGGTGATGGTCTGGGGTGCCATTTCATTTCATAGTAGGACCCCTTTGGTTGTCATCCGTCGCTACCTTACAGCACAGCGGTAAGTCGACGAAGTTCTAAGGCCCATTGTGTTGCCCTTCATGGTATGCCACCCTGGGCTTACATTTCAGCAAGATAATGCCCACACTGCACGTGTTTCTATTGCTTGCCGAACATTACCTTGGCCAGCAAGGTCGCCGGATCTCTCTCCTGTTGAGCACGTTTGGAGCATTAGGCCTCGTTCAGACGAGCATAGGGTTCAAAGTTTTCAACTTTACGCCGAGTTTGGGATAAGCGTCGACCAATCAGAGCAAAGCTAAAACGAAGCGGCTTTCTTTAGACGATTTCGCTGTCATATCGAAGGCGACATTTTTTTTTTTTAATATGGAACAAATCGTATCCGAACGAAATAAAGAGTTGATCTCGCAAGAAATCTGCAATGATAACATGCATTTTTTAATGAGTTTTTCAGTTTATATTGAAAAATATGGATGAAACTCGTAAAGTGAAAGTTAAGCTCAGGATTATGCACGCTGTGTATGATCCTGTAGATGATTGATCCCATCCAATATTTTTCATTTTATTATGAAAATTCTTTAAAAAATGCATGCTTGCAAAAATTTTATTTTTTCTGTGTAAATTATTATTATTACTTTCTTTCTGTCTATAATTTTTTTTTAATTATTACTATAATTTTTTTCCTGTTTAATTATTTTTGTATTTAAGAATAAATTTATTTAAAAAGCTGGAAATATTGTATTGCTATTTGCTTCAAATGCTGAATTTCTTTCCAAACAAATTTCATGAATTAATTTTACTAAAACATCAAATCAATATCAAGAATCTGCTGTTTTTTTTTAACAGTAAAAATATTACTTAATTTTGATGTATTTGAAGATTTGGGTACCTAAAATTTGTCAATGTGGAATTACTTTTGAGATTTGGTCGTAGATAGAAGTGACAGCATATGTTGAAATTAAATTCAGGGGTGCGGCTTATATATGCAAATTATTAAAAATAGATGTATATGAACAGCTGGCAAGACAGCAAAATGTATTTAATGATTGAGCATAAAATACATTGTTGGGTGAATGTTTCCTAGTATTGTACTAGTTGTGGTTGCTGGTCATTGTTGTGGGATACTAGTACTAGTGATAATTGATACTGGTAGTGCAGCCAACTACTATAGTGATCAACAGGGACAGTGAATAAGGAGTGCTAAGCACACGTTTCACTGTCACAGAAACATGTTCTTTTTGATTGAAAATTTAAAAAAATAATAATAATGTATGGTAAGTACTGTTTTTAGCTTAACTGCTTTCACACCTGAAAAATGGAAAATTATTATATACAGGCTATCTGTTAGTTATCCTCAAGATTTTTTTTTTAACTAGGCATATTTAGAATATCGTATTTCTCCTAAGAGAAATTATATATAAAAATTGAAGAAGGTTTTATATAGTATATAAATATGCATATGCATGTTTATAGTATAGAGAGTACTACAGTACAATGCCGAAATATTCCATACTGATTTGCACAGAAAGATATGTGCCAACCAAGTATTGGTCTTTCAAAAAAATATCTGTAGACCATTTCGTTCTTTTTCTTTTTTTACCTTCTTCCGTTGCCTCTTGGCTTATAAGAAGGGCAGATAAAAGAGCATTCTGTTGAACCAGTAAAACTTTGTCTTGAGCTGAAAAAGCCATGACACAAAATAATGAAAACGAGCAGAGCGAGCGCGAGAAATCAATTGAGCTAGAAAACAGCGCGCGAAAGGTGTAGATGTTACCGTGAAAGACCGAAATTGGAGAATGTCGACTTTCACCGGAGAATATCAACATTCACCAAATACCTCCATGAAAGACCGATATTTCACTACATTCTTGTATATTCGGACCCTCACCGGTGTATGTCGACAATCACAGATATGCTCTGGTGAAAGTCGAAAAGAGAGGTCATAAAGTGCCATAATAGTTTAAGTTGTTGCAATAAATAAGATTTGAATCACATAAATTAGTAAGTTTTTTATTACTGTTATTTTATTTTCTCATTTAGAACGTACTGTATAATTAAGTAAGTTTTTAACTTCTATTATTTTCCTTTCTCATTTTGAATGTATTGTGTGTTTTAGGTTCTCATGTTCCTAAGTTCTTATTTTAAGTTTCAAGTGTGTTTATTTGCGACTGAATTACGGAGAAGAAAATATAATATTGTTATACGTTCAACATTCACCATTAGTACATGGTGAATGTCGACATTGACCGGTGTAAGTCAGAAATAAGAGTATTTGGAAAATATTTCGGACATACACTAAGAGACTATGTGAATGTTGACATTCTCCAGATTTCGGTGTTTCACCGTAACATAGACACATTCACGCATGCGCAAATTTAGCTTCTCTCATTGGCCACAGCTTAGACCCCCGTCTTGCAGGTGTGAACGGGTGTCCCGTATTTTATGCCCTTATGACTATGCCTCTATGCGCTTTACGTCCACGTCTGAATGCAGCTTTATGGGCAGGGCCCTCCTACCAGCTCAGGATGTGGACGATTTAACATGCCAGTTGGACAGAATTTGGCACGATATCCCTCAGGAGGACATCCGCAACCTCTATCAATCGATGCCAAGTCGAATAACTGCATAAGGGCCAGAGGTGGACAAATGCGTTACTGACGTTTTCTCTTTGTGAAGCTCTATCACTTCAATAAATCATCCAATTTTTCTCAAACTGTAATCATTTGTTTTTCTGTACATGTACATCACTTTTACCGATTTTCGTCTTGTTTGGATAACTCCTCCTTGGTGCGTCGTTTTTTTTTTTTTTTTTTTTTTTTTTTTTTGTCTGAGAGTGTATATATTAATTTAATAATCAGTATCTTTGTAAATTTTGTAGTGAAATATTTTCTGTTTAACTAGTTAGAGGATAATGAATTTTTTTTTACTAATTTGGGAGTTTTTTTCTTAGAAAGACCATATCAAAGGTAAGGTTTATTTTTGTATGGTCCTCTAAACCTAGTTTTGGTATTACTTTCACAAAGTTCTTTACCCCATTTTAAAGAATTTCATCTTATGCACTTATCTAGAATCAGCATTAATGGGAATAGTGCATGCAATAACTTTTGCTGAATATCTTGCATATCGATCTTTAGACACTAACTTTTATAATGTAAGTTATGTTTTTAAAGATAAAAATAAAGATTTCTAAGCTGACTAAAGCTTGTCAACCTTTACAAATTGTAAGTTTTGTGATGAAAATTAGGAAGTATTTTTTTTTAATATTCATACGATATGACAATAGTAAATATAATATATAACATTCTTTTGTTTCATGTTTACTAGATCCCCCCTGGTGTCACAAAAGAAGTTTGAAATTAGCGAGTATTAACCTAATCTAATCTTAATTTAATGAAGTTTTGTATCCTTTTAATTATAACATTTATACTCAAATGCCAGTGATGAATAAGCATTGTACGAATTTTCAGTTGGCGCTTTCATTTCATAAAAGCAATATCAGTTTAACTCATGGGAAATAGCCGCCGACAAACCAATACTGATTATCAGATTTTGAGTGTGCAGTGATAGTTAGTGTCTGACGAATAGTTTCCGAAGTTTGTCTCTCTGTTTGAGAGTTCAATTTTTTTTTTTTTTTTTTTTTTCCCTGTCTACTGTACCATGAGTGACATGATAGGTATTATCATTTATTGTGGAGAATTCGGCGGCAGCAATATTTAGCTTGAATTGAACATCCCAACGAGTAAGACTGCTTGGAGTAACATCCACATTCATTGCATGATGAAAGAATATGTATTAATGGGATATAACAGCAGAAGACTTGTCAAAATGTCTGTGGCGATGTTACATCGCCGTTAGTCTCATCAGAAATAGCCTAAGAATCACAGACTTCATCTAACGGTTAAAACCA